CATCATATTTTAAACTATTTTTGTTAGATTATTATATATTATATTTTGTTAGATTATTTTCAAAGGACTGTAGTGTTGGTCTGCCTCTGTTCCTGCGGAAGTAAGAACAAATTTCTCAATGGCTCCATTGAGAAATCCAGTGAGGAATCTAATGTGGAAGCTCACAGGTTTTGAAAACTTATTTTCCTAAGTTCAGAGATGTTAAGTATGCATTGACATGGAAAAAATTAGGAATATCTTGCCTATTGTACAGGTTTCAGCAGGCTCTCTTAAAAATTTACAGTCACGTAATTTTTGAATATAGAGTATCTACATTTTCTTTTTGCTTGACAGGTGTAAAATGAACCCAGCTGAAGCAGTTAAAATGAACCTAAATCTGTTGACTGCTGTTGTTGTAAGAAGGTGTGCCTGAATTTCCTGCCCATGAGCTCCTTTCACCCAATGAAGCGGGATGGGTCAGAGCCTGTGGGTGAGCAGTCCATGCAATAAGACCAACATAAAGACTTGCCCAAGTTAAAATGTCTCCTTGTGCAATACTGGGAGCACCAAACAATGATGGAACAAGCAACCAGCTGGATGAGAATACCAAAGATGCATACTTCTCAGAACACTTTCTCTTCTGTGCCAGCTGGGCCTACATACACCAGACGAGATCTCAGCTACTGGCTTTAGCTCTGCAGCATATATTGAGTTTTCTCGTACATCACATCTGCAGCTTCCTCCAAACCCTTCCTTCTGTGCCTTTTTGAAAAAGAATTTGGAAAAGGAGAGCTGTCTCGGGCTATTCCCAATGAAGCAAATCATTTTAAATCAATCAGTTCTCATCAGCTCTACGGGCCAGGTGCCAGGCATTGCAGAATCAATCCTCTTTTACAAAATAATCTCTATATAAGCATCTCTGCTCTTATATACATTTTCATTGGGTTTCTAAGTACACATAGAGCCCCGGTGTAACAGAAAGGCAGGGAGATTCCCTCTGCTCTCTCTGTTGTTTCTCCCAGTACAAGTGAGGGCTGCTGTGTCCCCACGAGACTGGGAAAAGTGAGCAGAGTCGTGACAGGGTAGCAAAGACAGAAAATCATCCCAAAAAGGATCCAGAACTTCCTCATTAGAAGAAGCTTGAGTGAGGCTACCGAGACACCTTTACTACTCCTGCAAAACCATGATTTTGTCCTCCCATAGAGAGAACAGGCTCTGGTAAGAGAAACCAGCTTCAGTAAGTTATCAGGGACCTCATGTGATTTCACCTGTAGTAGGAAAAAAAAAAAAAAAGACTAAGAAATTGAATAAATATTGTCATGGTTGACTCATCTTTCACAGACCTCTGCTTTGTTTATTTTATTTTTCATTTCTGCACCTGTCAGGTCTCTCACTGTCATTTCAGACTTGGTTTCAATGTAGCTGCAAAGGTGGAGATGGTAATTCCACTGGTGTATTGATCTTGACACTACAAGTCCCAGTCTTGCACAGAGACAAATGTCATCCTCCCAGGACTGCTGTCAGAAGCGATGCAGACAATGACTTCTGTATCTTCCAGTAAAACGAACTTGGTTTATGGCACGGGGCCACTGCTGTGGGAATTGCAGAGGCTGGAGTGCTGTACAACACTACCCCCTTGCGATTTCTCTCGTTAACAACACTTTCTAAAGTACATTTTTTTTCGGACTGCTCATTTTATATGGAATATTCCCTTTCTGAGCAGCATGAAACCTACCACTACGCAGCCAGTTTCCTCAGTGGGAACTGAACAACACTATTTGATAGGAACACATACTTTTTGTTTTTACTGAATTCCTCTCTCCCTGTGCCTTTAACCTTGTATAATTTTTATGATTCTGTATTTGCTGTTTCAGGAACTTGGGCAGGCCTGATATTCCCACCTCTGCCTGCACATGTTGCACTTCCCCTCTGAAGGCAGAGTACAGTGCAGAAATTCCAGACTTGCTTGTACACCTTTGCTATCATCTTGCATGTATTTGAGGTGCAGAGGACCAAAGCCAAGATGCTTGAGGTGGCCTCACTAACACAGGCACAATCCATTAATACCTGAACAAAGAAGGTGATGGAAACCAGGCTCAGCCGAGTCCAGATTGCCAGGCAAGTCCATGGCAATGGGGCAAGTGCCAGGTCACACAGGCATGAATATGCCAGCCAGCCACCAACTATCTTAAATCTGCCCCTGAGCCCAAACAGTCAGACCCCCAGGAAGGGAGAAGTGCTCAGGGCTGTAACATTAACAAGGCCCATGGAAAATTTTCATGTGCGTACCTGAAAGATCAGACTCCAAAATGTCTCATCTATGTTTGACTTTGACAAGTGGAAAGGAAAAAGAGACATCACTTCATTATTGTTTTGCTGATGAGCTAAGAGTTTGAGTAACACAATCACTGTTACATGCAGGGTAACTGTTTTAAAGAATCACTGTTGATAAGTGAAGAACAATGGAGAACATTTTATTTGGAAGGAATTCTACTTCCACGTCAAATGCTCGTGCCAAACTACTTCCCCTTCTTTGAGAAGAAATAAATAAATAAAAATGCTTCTTTGCGAAGCATTGACCCGTTCCTGCGGTTTATTGCCTAAAGTACAGCTCAGTACTCTGTCTGTGACATCCTCATTTCTGGTGCATCTGGGATTTCAACTTTATTACAACAGGGAACGCAGCATGTTTAGATGTCAATTTTCCTTGAGTGCAGATCTAACGCAGAGCAACTGTGAAGCTCAGTCAGTGGACAGACACTTCCCTTAAATACTTTAGAGAAAAAGAGGAAGGCCATTGACAGCTCTGTTTCTTCTCCTAAAGAACAGAACTCCACAGGGAGAGTTTCCTAAGTGTGTGCTGTTTTGTTAACAAATAAATTAGCCATAGAAACCCCCACGGTCACAGAGTTATTGAAAACTGAAGTAGAAACAATGAGACTTGTGTTCTAGCCCCATCCCTCCTGCAGAAAAAGGAGCAGCTTGCTACAGTATGAGGGTGCTCAGAGTTGCTGGAGGTTCAAAAAGTAGTGAGAGAAGTCTATGGAATAAAATACACTTGCAGGTACTTTAAAAAAATATAGGATATTGGATATATCCTATCCATATATGGATAGGGAGTCTGCCCTATCCATGCCTACCTTTGGTCATATCCTAGCTGTGGGCAAAGAACTGTTAATATCAACAGAAAATGGGTAACTTTCCAAGTCTGGAGGTGGTTCAAGAGGTAATGGAAGCAGAACAAAGGATGTTACCAGCAGGTTAGAGCACAAATGAGAGGCTTTTTTCCACAATACCTGCAGATAACATGGTATGTATCCATGATAACAATTAGATTAGATCCTCTTCACCCTATCTGACAACTTTTTCAGGTGCTGGATCACCTTCCTAACATGAACACCATCATAGCATGTGGCTCTGATGCTTTCAATCACACTGCTCTAACATGGCAAATGAGAACTGAATTTAGGCCACTACTACACTGACAAGACATTTGTTTGCTCTTTTTGTTTGAACTACTCGAGGACAGTGAACTTAGCTGCACTGCTGGTGTGCCAGAGCAGTTCAGATCAGGTCCACAAGAATCATTAGACCCTTAAATGAAATTGTGTACGTGAACACCTTTACAAAGCAGATAGAAAGGTCTAAAATCTGGTACGCAAAGCAACTGCAGAACACATAAAGCAACCTGAACAGAGATAATATGCATCAGTCTTTCTGAACAGAGTCTCAGAAAAGAAGAAATAATTCTAAAAAGATACAGAGACCCATTTCATTCTCAAAATCTAAGTGTTTCCATCACTAATTATTTTGGATAAAAGTTTTATAATTCTCTCACTTTCAGTCAGATATTTTATTTTTTTCCTGCTTTACTTCAGAACTGAGCAATTCATAAACAGAAGCCTGAAACTCCTCAGCCTATTTTCTTCCTCATTAAAGAGCTCTGTTAGGACATGTACAGAAATTGCTGGATTTTCCTTGTAAGTCCAGACCTGTCACTTCCTTGAAGAATAACTGTAGCAAAGGAAATCGTGCAAGTCTTACAACAGCCCTGCAAAGCTTCCATATGAAAAAAGGGCGAATTGTCTGTGTTTTGAGGGGCTATGCGTGTGTTTTAATAGAAAACTTCCCATTTAAAGGACTTGTCTGTTGCTGTGAGATCTGGCAGTGTGTTCTTAAAATGTGGATTATGTAATGGAAAAGAGTAATAGAGAAATGGGATCACTTGAGATTGTTATCTGTAGGTTCGTGCCCAGTGCTCCCTACCAAGAAGTACACAGAGCCGGAATTCATACAACGGTCTTTTATTATTTTTTTTAACTTTAACAAGGTTTTCTTTTTTCTTTTTTTTTTTTCTTTCTCTTTTTTCTTTTCCCAGTTTAGGACTACAAGATTACTTCTATTATCTTTGCAGTTTCCACTGTTATCAGTCGAACAACTTCCTTGCAATCCCAAGGCCTGCCTTTGCCTGCCCTGGCTGAGGAATGACATCCCTCATGCTGCCTTTGAAAGGCGGAGCAGCACCTCCTGCGCTCTGATCTACACAAAAATCACCCAAATACCCCAAATCACCCCCCAGGCCCAGGCCCGCGGCCCTAACCCCGTTGCTAGGGCCGGCCCGCCCCGCCGTCGCTAGGCCGCGCCGTCAAGGGAGGAAGTGTCGCAAAGGCTGACAGGAAACTCGGCCGCGGGTTACGGCAGCGGCGGCCGCGCTTGGCGGCCGCTGGATGAGCGGCGAGTGGGAGCCGCGGCGCTGAGGGGAGCGGCGGTGAGCGGCGGCGGGCGGGGGGGGCCTCGGAGGCCGCCCCGGGGCCCTTAAGGGACCGGGGAAGGGCCCCGGAGGAGGCAGGGGGGTGTGGGGTAACGGGAAAAGGCGGCGGCGGGGCGGTGAGGCGGGGCCCGGGCACCGGCTGTGCCTTTGTTCGCGCCCCCCCCCCCCCCCCCTCCTCCCCCCTTCACCTCACCTCCCCCCTCCCGCCTCAGGCCCGTGAGGCCGCCGCCTGTCGCCCCGTGTCGCCTGACGCCCTCCTCCCCGCGGGGTTTGTGTCGGTCTCTCCCGTAGGATATGGCCGAGGTACCGCCGGGGCCTAGCAGCGTCCTCTCCCCGCAGGGGGACACGCTCTCCCCCTTCCCCGGAGGAGGAGGAGGAGGGGGGGCTGCTTCCTCCTCCTCCTCCTCCTCTTCTTCTTCCACCTCCGCCGCTGCCGCCGCCTCCGCCTGCGCCGGGGCCCAGGACGAGGAGGCCGAAGAGGAGGGAAGAGGAGGGACCCGCGGGCGGACGGGAGCAGCAGCGAGGAGGAGGAGGAGGAGGCAGCAGCGACGGCGGCAAGGGGGGGCCGCAGCAGCAGCAGCACCGCCTCCACCACCACCACCACCACCCCCCGCACCACAACCACCAGCTCAACGGCCTCATCAGCCCCGAGCTGCGGCACCTGCGGGCCTCCCTCAAGAGCAAGATCCTCGGCTCGGAGGCAGGGGCAGCCCCCGAGGGGCAGGAGAACAAGCGAGCCAGCAAAACAATGGGCTCCGGACAGCAGCAGCAGGCATCGCCTCCGGCCACAGCACCGTGCTCGTCCCCCCTTAGCAACCACCTCCCTCCCCAGGGAAGGACTGCACCCTCTCCTCCTCCTTCTCCCCCAGCAGCAGCAGCAGCACCAGGGGACAGGAGCCAGCCTGCTGCCACAACTCCGACTGCTGCTAAGACTGCAGCCCGCAATGGACTGGCAGGAGGGACTGGCTTGGAGGAGGAAGAGCAGGAGGAGGGGGATGAAGGAGGGGAGGAGGAGGAGTCCCTGCTGCTACTCTCTAGGTCCTTAGCAGCAGCCTGCAGTTTGAAAGGCTCGGGAACGGACTCTCAGCCCGAGGAGGACCTAACGATACGATACGTCCGATACGAGTCAGAGCTGCAGATGCCCGATATCATGAGACTGATCACCAAAGATCTGTCTGAACCCTACTCCATTTACACGTATAGGTATTTTATCCACAACTGGCCACAGCTTTGCTTTTTGGTAAGTGCTGGGGAGGGAGGGCAGGAATTGGGAGTGGTTTGGGACAGGGGTGGGGAGAGGATTAAAGGGCTGACATTTGTGGGAATGCTCCTGCTATTCTTTTTATGGCTGAGGGGAAAAACCAAGCTCTTTTGGAGGTATCTATCCCTGCTGAACCCTTCTTCTCACCTATGCCTGTATAAGTAAAGCCTATGTCTAAAAGTCCTGTAGTCATTAAGACACGTTTTAAGTGGTGGGGAAAGGCTTTGAACACAGGGCTAGGATCCAGGAATTCAAGGCTTCTAATCTTGGTTTTGACATTGACTTTTGTGACCTTTGGTAGCTCATTTTATCATTCTGTCTCAGTTCCTAGGTTCCTATTTAAAAAAGAAAGTACTTAGTCCACGAGTGTCTTATGAGTGCTTCATAATTCTTGCACAATGGCTTTAAAACTGCCCTCAGCATGACTGGCATATAAACGTCGACATGTGGGGAGACACTGCTAGAGGTTTTGTAGACTTTTTGATCTATTTGCTTATTTTAAAAAGATCAAGTACTACTGTATTGCTTCTTGCAAGTGTGATAGCGTGTGTGGCAATTTGGATTTTACTTAGGTTGTCTTGCTGTACTAACAATACATTTATCCCTCCTACTGCACAACCAAAAAGATTGCTTTAGTTGTTTCCTAGTCTTTCTAAACGTTTAGAGCACTTCTTATGACTAAACAACAGCCAGACAGTTTTAGAACCCGAGTCTCGGTAGGGAAGCATGCTTTCAGCGCAGTAATTCCTGCACAGGTATATGAAAGTGAGCTTAAATTGGCCTGGGGGGTATTTGTGCACAGTGGGAGCTTAGCTGGGTTTGATTTCCTCGTAGGAAAATTTGTCTGTAGAACAGAACATTTGTGGGAGTGTATGGCACTTCCTCGCTAAGGTAAATGATGAATTCTTCTCCCTTGATCTTTTAATCAGGGTTGGACACCTCTCTGGAAGGGATGGCTTAGCCAGAGCCAAGGCGCCCTTCAATTCAGAGTTTCTCTGTAAAATTTTAATAGGATATGAGTACAGGAGGTGAAGCTAATGGAATCCATCTGGCCTTAAACTTCCTGAATGTTCTTGTTTTAGGGTCCGGTGTAATTTATAGCGGGATTTATATGATTTATGGGAGGGTTTTCAGAAATGTGCCTCTCTCAGACCTGAAGAGGGAATACAGTAGGATTATAGGAAGTTGAGCAAAGCATTCCCATCTGGAACAAAATAAAAATATGAAAATATTTGAAATCAGTCTTCAACCCAAAGTCATGTTTGCTATTACACGGTGAGTTAAAAGGATGCTGATCACAGCAGAACTGTAATTTTTCAGGCGCTGAGCATACACCTAGCTGTGTGTGACTGATTTTCACTGAAAAGAAACGCTTGTGAACTCCAAGTGTTTGTACTTTCAGCATCAAGTGTATCGTCGGTGATGCCAAGGCAGTGTTGGATACTATTAGCTCACCGTGCATCTGTTTAGACTTTAGGTTTTTGTTTTTTGTCAGGGAGTAATTTGAGAATTTTGTTAGGGAAAGAGCAGTGGCAAATTAGCTTGACAGAGCACTAAACCTGATTATTTCTAATATTTATTTCTAACAAATGCATTCAGAGAACAAGGTTTTACTCAAGGAAAATAAAACATCCGAAGCTTATTTTTTAGGGCCAGCTTCTTTTAGTAGTCTTGAAGAATCAACAAAACTTCATTTGAACTCCAATTCTATTCAGATTTGCCACTTTTATGAAGGGTGGAACAGTGTGAAGCACGTAAAACAGTAGAGAAGAATATGTGGCTGCAAATGTCTACAGCTCTTAGCAGATTGTTTTACATACATAATAATCTGAAGCTCTTCCAGGATCTTGAGTCAATTTCAATGGGTTTTTGTGAGTGATTTTAGTGTTTTTAAGGCTTGGTTTTTAGCGGTTGTCTTGAAGACTTTCTGTTCTATAAAATTAAATTTGTTCCTGCAGTTAATGGATTCCTGAACTACTTCTATCTAATAACTCTTTAAAATATTTATCTTCAGCTGGAACTGCATATTCCAATTAGCTAGAACAGTGTCAGGATGGTGAGCAGAAGCACAGTGCCTGATCCCGCAGAATCATTTGTCTGTAATGCCTTAAGGCCTCACAGCCTTCTGGCTCCAGGTTTGTCTTGGGGACAGGGGTTAGACTGTAATTTGTTCATATTGGAGAAAAATAGCTGCAGGGTGTCTGTCGGTTCAGTTACTGAATTTCACCACCACCGCTTTTTAAAAGGGTGATGAGGGGAAAAGACTAACTCCATTTAAATTTGAAGACAGGATGCCTATTTTCCTGAAAGGATCAGCAATTGTCTGGCGCTGATGTGTTCAGTGAGCAACCTTAAACGTTGTAATGCTGCTATCAAGCATCTGGGATACCTGACAGCAAAGTTTTCCAGGGGCATTATGAACATTGTCGCTGTGGTGATGATCTCGTGGGTTTGAAGCTTGCTGAGTTTCGGCTTGGTTTTATCAAGGTGGGCTGTCACTACCAGCTAGCGCCGATCCAAGGTTGCTGCTTCTCCTTTCTCTTCAGCTACCTCTGCCCTGCCTGTGAGTTTATCTGCTTTGGGAAGCCAAGCTAGCCCTCACACCCAGCCATGTATTCATACGTGTGTTTGTGTGCTTGCGTGTTGTGTCTTAGGGTCAGATTTCTGTTGGTTTAGGTCTTCAAACATACTCGTAGCGGGATGACACGAGCACTGGTGTTGGCACAAGGAAAGAGGTGAGAATGCACAGCTGGAGAGAAGGCATGGGACCAATCCTAACTAGTCACTAGCGTGGTTTTGCTGTGTCAAACCACTTCCTAACTATACACTGAAAAACAAGTTCACACTCCACTTTAAAAGGAACTGAAGATAGTAAGAATAATCTTCAAAACCCATTCATTTTAACGTCAAATGAATCTGTGCAAGTGTCTCCTGACTTTTGAGTTAGCAAGTTGGAAATACTTGATAAATAGCTCAGGTATGGCCGCATTATCTGACTGAGCTGTAGCAAGGCAACAACCTTCTCCTCCCCCAGCTGTAGCTGTCTGCTGAAGCTTGGATTTCTCCTGTCTCTCGAAGAGCAGGTTGGCAGCACGTGCTAGGTGTGGGGGCCCTGGAAATACTTAGGGTTTATCTATTCCCAGGAATTCTGTCAGCCCAATTTCTCTTCAATTGACCAATGATAACCATTTCCCCATCAAAGGTGGGAGAGGACAGGGGTATTCACGTCAAGTGTTTTTAAGCATTGCTAGAGCTTTGTTCCTGCATTGGTTGTAAGTGCATTTTTGAACTTGTAGCTCCATTTTGAAGTGGTTTTGCAGATCCTGGTCCTAGCAGTGTGAAAGTTCTAAAACTCCTTCCATTTAAAGCTGGTAAATTAGCTATTGCAGAAAATTGTTTTCAAAATACTGCAGCGTGGGAGAGGTGAGCTTGGGAAACCTTGCCCTGTTCCAAAGTTTGGATAAGACAGGACGTAATAAAAGCAGGGTTCTGACTGAGTGTTGTAACCTCTCCTGTAATTCACCGCTGCAGACTCGCTGCTGCTGCTCAGCTGCCTTTTAAGAAAAATCTGGAAAATGCATGCTTTTATTGGGTTCTTAACTTTGCCAGTAGCTATAGCAGCAATTATAATTTAAACTTCCACAATTTTAGAAATAACTGATTAATTCCATGTATGTGGTTTTAGATGTGCTATAAATCCTAAATGGCTGCAGTTAAGATCCTGTTTTCTAATAATACTTTGCCTTTTTTTTTTTTAGTTGGATTTTATTTAAGAGGCTCTGTGCTTCACGTTGAAACTAACGACTTGTGAGACATCATCGCTGTTTTTCAGTTGCAGAGAGCTTGGGGGATAAAGGAAGAACCAGGCAAAGTTAGGAAACAGCGTGGGAAGTCTTACCGGCCTCATGGCAGACCTGGGAAGACATCCTGTAATATTCATTCCCAATTTGCAAGCTGCAAACTCCACTGTATGCCAGTTTCCTCTTAAGAATCGTGGTTTGAGACATGGCTGGCTGTGCTTCTTGGTCTCACAGGCTTTGTGAAAACCTCAGTCCTTGTAGCATATGGGTATTTAACGACAGCCAGTGAGTGCAGTTATTCTGGCAGCAGCCCTGCACAGGAAGGAATTGCTCGGGTCCAGTTTCATAGAGTGGAAGCAGGGAGAGTGACTTAGTGATTTGCCCGGTGTTGTAAAGAGCTCTGACCGAACTGGCGGACTTTAGGTTAAAACCATTAGGCTAAATGCATCCCTTAATGGCATTCGGTAACACGATCACTAGATGTAAGCCAGAGGATTCGTGCAGAGCTGTCTCTGTGATCCTCTGAGGTGGATTTGGGTGCGTGTGTGAAAGGAACCTGCAGTCTTGCAGGTTCTGCTGCATTTGAATCGCAAAGTGTTTCTCTTTTAGGGGCTAGCTGGTTGGTTTAATCTTTAAATGGGAACAAATATCGCGGGCTCTGGGTGTGAAAGGCATGCTCAGGCTGTGCCTGACGGAGCTAATGCCACCTTTGCCAAGGAATTAATGGCAATTGTTTAATTTTCAGAGAGGTAATGCTCTTGCTGCTTTATAGACACTTCTGTGCTAGCTCTAGCAATAAAGGGTTGCAATACAAAGATATTAACATCTAGTTTGTTTTAAACATTCAGTCTTACAAGAACAAAGTTGATGCAAATATGGGATTTGAATGCATGGATGTTAATCTTCCTAAGAATTTAGGATTGAAGTAAATCCTATAGTACTCCATGGGGCTTATACTATAGTAACTTGGGCTGAATTCTGTTTGTAGAAACCTGTGTGCTTAGAATTACTCTCGTTTGGCCCATGATTATTTCTTTATAAAGGATGTTGTATGGGAACTAGTTTTCTTCTTGCCCCCATCCCTATTTCAATCTTTTTTTTTTTTTTAATTTACACAGTTTTAACCTTCCCCAGGGAGTTAAATTGCAGTTTTACATCAAGTTTTAGGTTCGTTTCCAGCTTCAGATAAGGTTGAAAAGAAGGAGAAAGAAGAGAAAAGGCAACAAGAACCCCAGTTGAGGTAGAAATGCAGCACTCACCCCAATCATAGCTTAACTGGCAGATTTACCTGCTTGAAGACAGAGAAGGAGATTTAAGTGTTCTGGGAACTGGCAACACCGTGATATTCATGCAACTTTGTGGCAACGGTGGTGAAATCAGTGGGTATTTCCTTCTTTGATCACTGAAAATGATTTTAAAATACACATTACAGAACATAGCTCTTAAAAAAGTGCCCCTAACAAGAAAGAAGACAAGGCTGCAATGTGTCACTACTCTTGAAGTGCAGGGGGGGAAAAAAATCTAAAAATTCTCCATAGGGCTGTTACGATCAACACTTTGCACGTGTTCGCTTCAGGGCAAAGCATAACTATAACATGCTAGTTTGTGGTGTCTTTTTTTTTAGCTAGGTATAAGATTACATCTAGGTACTCTGCATAATTATAGCAATGTTATGAACAGGCTGTCTGATGATACTCTTTATTTAACTCCCTGGTTTTCTCAGGTCTGAGCTGAGATACAAAACTTGCCTTGAGCTGACACTTTGCATACACAGTTTTAGTATAAGTACAGCTTTTCTTTTCTATGAAATAAACTTGTGTTTTAGAACAAACAAAAGACTGCTTAGAGGCTGTGTATTTCAGTCCACTTAGCTCATGTTTCGGTTTTTGTTTGTTGTTTTAAAAACCACTTGTTTAGATTGTTCAGGGTTGTTCTTGGATACTGTTAGAAAAATGTATTTTCCTGCCAAATAAAAACTTAGAAATAATTATGTTTGCGTGACAAGCTGAAACTATATTAGAAATGGTGTTAGGCTCGTGCTGCATCACAGTGCTTTGGAATTGCAGCCCGGTCGTTTGGGGCTGCTTCATTTTACCTTTGGTAGGGGCTTGTGGCTGGCAGCTGGCTTGGTTAGTAACCCACCGCTCAAACGGAGATGCAAGAAGACTTTGGGCACAAACTCCCTGTGGATTGGTGCCTGCAGTATGGTCTCTGTAAGAATTTTCTGCCTGTAGATCCTTGTCCTACGAGCTGCAGAAATGCTCAGGCTATGGAGTCCGTACCATGGCCTTCAGAGCTGGGTTCACAGGAGGTCTGGTAATACTGGCTCGGGCAGGTCCTTTTTGTTTGACTTAGTGGAGTGTTGTGAATTTGGATTATCCAGGGGCTCTTGTGCCAGCACATGCTTGTGCCAATCATGTGCTGTAGTCCTGGTTTGGGAGCTGGAGCTGAGCTTCCCCCTGCAGATACAGGTCTCAAACTTCCGTGGCTCAGTTTATACACCCATGCACACGGTTCTGAGCTGCTTTTTTTTTCTCTCTGTCAATCTTTCCCTGAATATATAGTAACTCATACTCCCTTTGGATGCTATCCTACTCTGCAGCATTATTCACTTTACTGCTGCAGGTTATAATGTCATTAATATCTAATGCTGCCTAATCCTTCAGTTAACATATGACTTAGTTATTCTTTTTCTCTTTCTCAATGTATTTCATGGTAAATTTCTTTGTGAACACAGTGGCTGTGCAAGTGGCTTGATAAGTGTTTGGGGAGGGGTTAGGTATTTTTTTTTTCTATTCTTGATATTTCAGGATAATTGTGTCTCCTTGACCACATTTTTTTGTCACAATACCATTGGGATTAACTGTCAGCTCTTAATGAATGAAACCTCTGAACGGTTAAAATGTGTGAAATTAACTGTATGCTTTTTTGGTTTGTTTGTTCCTTGGATGCCATATGACTGAAAATGATGGTTTCTAAAGATTAAATGCAAAAACATTTTTTCTCTGATGCATTATGGCCTTGACATCAACACCAGATAAAAATTAAGCATGTTATCTGCCCAGCTCTTGCACATGAAAATTCGGATCGCTGTAAAACAGGAAAGGACTTATTTTCCCTCTGTGGCAACCCATGTTAAAGGATGATTTATGCTTCAACCTGGTCTTTTTCTTTTTTTTCTACCCTTTTCTATCACATACGATCTTGCTGGTAGAATTGATGGAATAACATTATGATTCTTTCCCAGACAATTTATTGGCTGTTAATAGACTGTGACTTTATCTGAGTGTAATATAGAAATAAGAGACCTTTAATCTTATTTGTACTCCTGGAGATGGTGTTTATTTTCTTTATACCTTTGTACAAGCAAATTTAGTGTGGCTGTCTCATTTTAAATGCACTGGTTTACTTTTTCTGGTAGCACTGCAGATCACAAACTGAGAATGCATACCTATATGTTTGTCTTTAAGGCCATGGTAGGGGAAGAGTGTGTAGGTGCCATCGTCTGCAAGCTGGATATGCACAAAAAGATGTTCCGCAGAGGTTATATAGCCATGTTAGCAGTGGATTCCAAATACAGAAGAAAAGGAATTGGTAAGAATAGCCTTTTTTGTTGTTTTTTACTTAAATCCTATAGTTTGTTGGGGTAAACATAGGCGCTGTAAAGGTTTAAGCAGAACTGAGCCTCTAGATGTGGTGGTTTGTTGTCATCCCTGCTTTACTCATCCACACAAGCTCCCTGCTCTCTTTTTTCATTCTGCTGAAGTAACCTGAAATGCCCGTGCCCTGTGAGATTAGCATCTGGGACTTGAAGCTAAAAAAGAAACTCAGTCAGCAGCCCCTACCTCTGCAAATTACCATTATCAAATAACAACTGCAGAAATTGCTTTGCGTTTTTATGTGCTCTCATCATTGTATGTCTTTATTGTGTTCAGGTGTGGGGTGTTTTTTTCAGTGAATTTATCCCCTGGCTTTCCCATATCAATTACATATATATTTGCCCACTGGGGATAATGTACATAGCTAATGCTTGAAATATGTGCTAATACTCGAAAAAAAATAGTTGTGCATTACTACCTGCGTGACCAAAATGAAGATCTGTTTTGTTGGCAATTGCATGATGAAAGAAAGCTCTCTTGGCAGGGAGCTTGCCCTCCCCTGTGGGTCAGTTTTGCCCTAATGGAAGGGACTTTCCTTCAAACACTAGTTATCCTAGCTTGGTTGATTAAAGAACTGTTCTTATGGAACTCCATTCTTTTTAGTTTGGTATTGTGAAATTACACCTTGTAACAGATTTTTAATTTAAAATGTAGATGTCAGCTTTAAAGGCCGGAAATGTGCTTTACCACCCATTCTCACTAACAGCTTATACTCTGATTAAAGACAGAAAATTACTTGCTGTGGAGAAATACGGGAACAAGTTACAGATTAATACCATTGTGTTTGTTCTCCTCTTTAAAAAACAAACAAACCAAAACAAAAACAACAACAAAAATTAAAAACCTTGAAACATTAAGTATTATCATGACTGTTTTAGCATATGTGATATCTTTGTTATTTCAGTGCTGTTCAGAAGCTGTTGTTGGTTTCTTTAGTGGAGCAGAGGGAAGAGGATACAGAGAAATCATTCTCTCCTTTCTTTTTAGCTGAGTCATGAAGGAGCCTGCCATAATTTCATTGCAGGTGCTAGGATTCATAAGTAAATAAGAACCAATGCTGTTCTTAGGAAGATCTCTGCAAGATTTTTCCCCTGCTTTAGTCAGATCATTACAGTTACATAAATAGAATTTATATTTAACGTTTTGCTTACTTTAGCATTATATAAATGTTAACTTTTTCCCTACATTTATCATGTTGCTGTTTCTCATAAATTATGCTGTTAAACTGAAGATGTTTTATATGCAGTAAAGTTTTGTCGTATGTTCAGTGAAAATCTTAATTGATTAAAGCTTTGAGAAAACTTTAAAGCAATCTCTAGATTCCTTGGGTTTTTGTTTTTCCTTTTCCTTAGCTTTCTTATGGAAGTGAGATTTATACAATTTCATTGAACAGCAGTTTTTTCCACTAATAACTTTGAAATCAACTTTCAATTTCACCCCAATTCTACAGACAGGTAGGGATATTACAGTCGTAGAACTGTTGTGAAATAGATGAAAAATAATGATACAGAATTAAATTAATGCTTGACTGAAGGGAAGGGATGGGCTTCAACCATATTATTAGATACTAGCAAATCCAAATGGGAGTGAGCCACAAGAAAAGTGGTTTCATAAGTTCTGTTGCTAATAGAAGTATTTGTTTTAGTAAGAGGAAATTCCCTTGGAAGATGAATGTCCTTCAAGTATGTGCCAGAAGATTTTGACTTTAAATGCAGCAAAAAGGGAATGAATCACATCTTGGAAGGCTATATATAACACTACGTTAAACATTGAAGCCTGTTTCTAATATCCTTGTGCTAAAAGACTTTTGCACTCAAGCTGGGTCTCTGGTTAACTTTAGGGATAATTTTAATGTTCAAACTTGAGACTGCAACTTGACTGCAACTTTTTGTTGCATTCTTTCCTCCCTGATTTCCCCAGGTGTCATGCCATGTAGGTAGCACACAGTAGTTGTATATAAGCTGGCATCTTTTGCATTGCAACTCTGACACTTATTGAAATCTGTATTTCAGGTACAAACTTGGTTAAGAAAGCTATTTATGCTATGGTTGAAGGAGATTGTGATGAGGTAAGACTTTATAATCAAAAACTTTCATAATGTAAACGGCTTGTATTCTCCCATATGTGGATTCATTTCTTTTTTTTTGTTTTGTTGGAGTTTTGTTTTTAGGTGGGAGGTGGGTTAGCAAGAAGCTCTTTGATAATAAAAGGAAAAACAACCTCCAAAAACATATGGCACAAATAGAAGGGCTTTCTAAATTTGTCATAAGTTCTCAAATACAGAGTTTTGGGTTCTGTTTTACTCTGGGAAGTTGCCTCAACCTTTAGTTGCAGGCACGTTTTCCTCTAAAGATTCTAGTTCAAGGTGCTGTTGACCAGTGTAACTTGTATGTTGTCGTAACACTTCCAAGCTTTCAGAATATACAAAGATACTGGAACAGTACGTACTGTGATATTGCAGAATGCAGTTTTATCCCAGCAAGTCATTGTTATCCTGACAATGCTTAAACCATATAACAAAGCACTAACAGCTCGAGTGATTCAGCACGTCGGTGAACGCTTCAAGGAAAGTGACTGAATCACTGTCAAACTTTCTCTGGCCTATGTATTATTAGGCTTTCCTTTTACCAGATTACAATCCTTCTGTCCCTCTCTGTCTCTCTCTTTTGCATAAATGAAGCAGCTATCTTTATGTGCCCTGTTTAATTTGTGAGGAACTCTCCCTGCATCCATTCTCCTTAATCCAGTTATCTGTCCCTTTAACTTTCATCTGCTTGCTACAATGCAATTGTTAGCTTGTTCCTGATACCTGAACACCGTGTCATTTCAGCGTCTCACAGTTAATGATCCTTTGATCTCTCTGTTATCTCCTTTCAACTGCTCCCCTGATTGTCCTGATGAAGTTTTTTATGCAAAATTGCAGTTTTTCTTACAAGACTTCTGGCACGTACTCTGTTAACTTTTCCACATGTTGTGTTATGCCTTTTGTGGTATCCTTTTATGTGCTCTGCTTTCATTCAACAACTTGTTTGAGCTATTTATTCCTCCCTTCAGTTCCTTTTATACCTCTGTTTTCTGGTGTAATTTTTCTACAATTCCTTTTGTATACAAGCATTGTAGTGCAATTTGATAGTTCTGCAGTAGTTTAAGTTCTTTTTGTCTCGATGCTTGTATCATATGTAATATGCTTTGGTCTAATCTGTTCCACTGTTTGCGACCTTGAACTATTCAAGGAAAGTTTTTTGTTTGTGTCTTCTTTTCCATCGCTTTCCCCGGTGGTCATGTGTTCATTTGCCATTGTGAAGTACCCAAGATTTAAAAAATAAAAATAAAGAAGTACGATATCAGTGTGTTCACGTTACATTGGGAGAACTGAGCTGCAGAGACATGAAATGAATTGCCTACTGCTGTTAGAGAGTCATTAGCAGAGCTGTGTATTTCTGCTCAGGCCACCAGGAGCTTCAATGCTCCCCATATTATTTAGGAGTTTGTGTACTACTTCTCCTGTAACTTCATTTCTAACTTGGGCTATCTTACACGTATACATACAGTGATCTCTCCCGTGTCTTTCGTCCTCCCCTGCTGTAATATTAATCCCAGAGCCCTTCTTACTGCTTTTTGTCATTGTAAAAATGAAATAAATGTGATAGGGATTGCAGGCTGCTCTGCAGTAAGACCTCATTAAGTCTTAGTCATAGATTTTCATCTATGGTGCTGCATAAATGCTTTGTACTAAATTTGTAGGTCATTTTTCAGAGGCCAGTGCTGTCCCTCTTTAATCAAATGCACAGTTCCAGCTCCTTGAAGTGTGTGCTGGACGGGTGCAGGCAAGTTTCAGTTCCAGTTTGGAAACTGTGTGACAGTGTTTGGGGGGGGTGATGGTTCAGAACCAATTATGCCCTGTTTCTTGGGGGCTTTTGTGTCAGCTTACTTTTAAGCTGGCACAAAACTTTGAAACGGGAACTCGTGTCCAGGCAGCAGGGAGCACAAGCAGAGTGTATTTCTGACTTCCTACTACACCAGTCTGCAGAGGCGTGCCCGAAGTAATACGATATGTTTATGCTGTTCTTTTTCATGTATAGGTTATCTACAGCCAGAGAGCAAATGTCTTCATGTTCTTTTCTTTTCTTTGGCAGCAAGTGTAGGTTTCTTCCAGGTACATGTGGTACAACAATAACGATGTTTACTTCTCCTATGTGGTGGATTGCTGAGAAATTTTCAGTCTCGACCAAGGTTTGAAAGACCTAATTAGCCACCTGTTATTTAAAGCTCTCTGACAGAGCTGAGAAACTTCCCTCGCTGCTTTCTGCAGCAGTTGCTGTGGAGAGCAGTTTCTGGCCATCCGATTGATGCCTGGCTGATCAAACCTGAAGCAGTGCATCGCAGTAGCTTGTCTTTGTGAAGTGTGTAAATAATTTAATTATCTCTGCTGCTCTTAGGATATTTTTCTACATCCCTTAGTAAAATCAAAAGCATGATGAAAATCCAGAGATGCTGCTACTTGATGTAAGATGGGCTGCAATTCAAAAAGACTCTCTTCTGAAACTTGCTTGGAAAACAATTAAAAATAGGAGCATGCACCCATGGGTGTCATTGAAAAATTCCAAATTGTGTTATATAATATGATGATAATTTGTGGCATGTAATTTGATAAATTTTTAGTTCAAATATAATACTTTTCAAAGTACCATAATTGATGTACACAACACCAACAGCCTGTAATGCTGAATCTTGAAAAGTAAAGGATTTTTACAGCACCAGAGATGAAAATCTTAAATCACTAGTGCTCTCCTGGCATTTCGAAGTTTGTCACAATATTGTAGTGATCAAGGACTTCATTTTTTCTTTTTTTTTTTTTCCCCTTGTAAGCTAGTTCAGTGGGAATAAAACTAAGGCAGGCCTATGGAGCAAGTGATTCACAGTGCCAGCATGTAGTTGGTGCTGTGTTGCATGCTTCAAAGCTGAGAGGCAATATCCTTCCAGCCAGTGGCTGTTTCCTGGCTTGAGGAGGTTGTAGTAGGGTAAGTGAAGAGGTGAATTGGCTGGGATGGAATCTGTGGAGAGGCGGAGGTGGTTGTGGCCTAATGCAACAGAAAAAGAGGGAAGTGGTCTAATGTTGGGGTGGGTGGTTCAACCAGAAATGGCCTTCAAGCCTGAAGAGAGTACTGAACAGCCTGCTTTGGGCTGGGGTGTCTGGATATAATATTACAATACTTAGGGATCTTTTGTTGTTTGTTTGTTTGGGTTTGGTTCTGTTTGTTGTAGTGTTGGTTGATTTTGGGGTTTTCTTCTCTCTTTTTGGTAGTGGTTGATTTGGGGGTTTTCTTTTCCCTTTATTTTTTTTTTTTCGTACCTTGGTGACCTTCTCAAACATTTTCTGTTAAAGATATTCAGAGTAGTGAGCTAAAGATTTTCAGGTGTATAATGGGCTGAGTTTCCATTAAGTCACAATGATTTAGAATAATTTGATGGGCTCATTACATAGAAAATGGGAACTACTAATATAAATTGGGTGAAGGTGAATAGTTTTCTCCCATCTCAGGTCTTTTGAAGAGATTTTTCTTCTAATGTAAAAGGGAAAGTGCGTGCAAACTCCAGCAAGCTGAGCATCTGGCTGCCTTTTGTACGTTTGCTTAGCCTTTACTGAGAGGCAACTTTCAAAAGTTGTGCTACTTGAGACTGTTGCATGGAACTGCTGCATCCCCTAATCAAAATTAGGAAAGGGAGAGTTGTATGCAGATTTTCCATCTGTAACAAATGACTAAGTAATCTGCAGATGATTCATTCACCTCATATTGCATTATTTCAGCACCACATAACTGCTAAATAATCAAAGTAAGACTCTGGTAAGTGGAACTCTCAAGAACTTTTTCAGCAAGATGTGGAATTTAAAAAGGAATTGTGACTTATTTTGAGAATTTCCATGAAACTTTAAAGTGTTTTTAAGTGAGATTTTTCTGACTTCATCACTAGGAGTGTCATTTTAATTCAGTACCATGCTTCTAAAATTAACTGTGTATTTTTATATAACCCTATTTGAAGTTATCAAACCATTGACAACTTAAATTTTTCTTCATCTACAGATCATTCAGCAAATTATAACACATTCTACAGTTATATTTTGGGTTCTACTTCTCTTTAAATGTTAAAACAGTTAAACTGATGAAGGGCACTGGACAAGCACCTATAGCTTGAATCTTAAAATATGCCAAACTTACTTGTAAGAATAGCAGCAGCTTCTCTGAGTGATGAAAGGATATTCATTTGTTTATTCGATTTGACAGTATTCTGAGTGCACTTGGTTTCTAAGCCAGTGCACTCAAAGTTTGGCCTGAAAAAGCAAAAAAGCTCCTTTCTACTTCAGTTTAGAAATAACCTAGGTATGAGAACATAGTAACAAGAAACGCAGTGTTCCACTCGCACTGCATTAAAAGATTCCTTGCTTCTAAAATGAGTTGAAAGTAAAGAGAGTTGAGATAAAATTGTAGGTTTATGAAATTTTGGAAATAAGTGAAAATAAGGCCCTTCAGAAAGTTGCAACTTATGCAGAAGATCTTGTTAAACCCAATCAGATCTTTGCTGGTTGACAGGAGCAGATGATGATGTGTTGTTATAAGGTTTAACAGACACATTTGTATGACAAAATAGGCCAGAAATGAAGGTAACTACTGAAGATTTGGAGCTTGATTGAAAAACTCACATGGGAAGAAAAGGATCCTTCACGTAATCAAGCTAATGAAACCTGGGTAAAATACAGTCATGTTTCCTTACTAGATACAGGATCATGTCCATAGCCCTTTGTGAAATCAACACGATATGCTGAGGTCGGAGGATTATTTTTCATTGTGCTAAGTGTTTCTTAGAAATACCAGAACAAGTCTATTGCATTAGCTTGCAAGATGAGCATTCGCTCAAGTACTGGGATTCCAACAAACCTGAATTTCAACATTTAGCCACTCCCTTAAATTCAATGATCTGTGGTGGTGGAAATCATTTAGCATTGCAAGGTGTGCAAGCTTGCAGCTGAACACAGGCATGTTGTGTCACTCGGGCAGATTACTGAGCTTCTGTGCGAGTGAATGTCATTTGTAGTCAGAGTTCAAATAATGGTTTCCTGCACTGTGGATTTTAATGGGTCAGATTTCCTGTTGGCATAATGCTTTAATTTGAAGGAAAAAATACTGCACTTTGATAATTGATTATAATTTGGAAGTTATCCTGTTTAATAAAGTTGCTAAGAGTAATTATCAAGTCACAAGATCTGACAGTACTGTTCCATCAGGTGCCAGCAAGAGAAATTTAATCCCTAATTCTTCCCATAAGACTTAAGAATTGAATTATCCTTAAGAGTACAGGTACGACAGACTGTCCTGCTGTAACTCAAGAACTCTGGCTATTAATGTTAGACCGTGTCACTCTTCCTTTTAGAAAAAACAAAGTCTTATTTTTTCCAGGCGTATTTTGTTCGTTGGATTGTTAGCTCCAGCTTTACTATTCTTTCAACATTCATGTGTTGAGAAGCACAGAGGGAATTATCCACTGGGATGTGGTCAGAGCAGCTCGAAACTTAAGTAATGGCCAAATGTGTACGCTAAGTCGATTTTCAAACCTTACTGCAGGTGGCCAGTCAGACTGCGGTAGCCTCCCTCTCTTACATTGGGTTAGCCACTCCTCAGATTGCAGAAAGCAAACTTAGAGAGAGAAATGAATCGTTTTTCTACCAGGTTGCTTTATGAAGTAGATCAGCAAGAAACCTAGTGAGCTGGCAGAAGAGCTGAGGGAGAATGGAAATGCATGCCTGAAGGTGAGGGGGCAAGAATCCGTGAGGTAGACTGGCTTAAACTGATATACAAGTACAGGCTTAAATATATAAATTTAATTTATTATATTTATTATATATAATTTATTATAAATAATTATTATATTTAATGCACATATATCCTGTTTTTTATTGGAAGAGAAGGGAGGAGGTGGGGTAGTTGGGGTAGATTACTATTTTTTTTGACTGTGAGATTTTTACATATATAATTTTAACTACGTAGAGCGGCGGATATTTGATGCTGGTTTGGATGTAGCTGTTAATGAGCTTACACCAACGCTGATTGCTGGCTTGCTGCATAAATTGCTTAGGCTGCATTTTCATTACGTGGTCTTTCTACAGTATCCATCAGCCCTTGTTTAATATGTGAATGCACATGGCCATGGGATTGCAGGTAGTCTTGTCAGCTTGTTGGTTCTTCGTGTGTTCTTGAGCAACCAGGATCCGTCCTTACCAATAGAATCCTTAAATAGTTGAGTTGGACAACAGTAAAGAGGCAAGATTTATTTATTTATTTATTTTTTACTGTTTGGAATGGGTGCACAGTTTAGTAGATACGTCAAAGGTCTGTTCGCTGTGTTTGGAGAAAAGAAAGAAAACCATTCAGAGGGACGTACTTCAGCAGTTTAACTTCTTGTTAATGCTTTTTTGTAAGTTTTTTTTTCTTGTACTTGAGGCTGCTGGGACAATTTTCAGTCTTTGCTTAACTTGGACTGCACTTGGGTTTGGTCTGAGCTATTGATGACAGGTCTTCCTGGAACTGGGGTGTTACCAACATAGAGGACAAAAAAAGAAAAAAAGCTGCTCTTTCTTCCTGCACTTTGCCAGGCTAGTTGAGAACAATAAAGGCCAAGACTTCTTAATCTTCTGAAGCTGATGCAGTACTTGAAATGCAATTATATGCCCAATTATATGCCCTTTACTTGCTCACTAGAATTGATTACTTCCAGGGCAGGCCTATCTTGCACCACCTTTGCTGTCCATAACCTCTTGCATGCCCTTCGGCTGTGAGTTTTTGGTGTGAGGCACCCAAGAAGCCCTGAACGGAGCCTTGTGAGTCTGGGACCTCTGTGGTTTGTGCACTCTGGTTTGACTCTGGGATTCTCACGTTGAGCACAAATACACGCTTCAAACATCGGTGTGACAGTTTGTCACAGAAAGGAGGAGTTTGCATCTAGGTCTAAGTCTCTGGAATTAGAGGTGGAAGATACTCAACGACAAAATAAAACCTAGTGTGTGCCAAGTTCAATTGTTCATTCAATGCATGTTTTGGAGCCTTAGCTGTTCAGTAGTACTATTTTTTTTTTTTTAACCATAGCTTTTAGGTTATGATTTGATACAGTATTTACAGCAAACAGCGACAATCTTGATATGAATGGAAACTTGCTTACAACTGCTATTGTTGATTAACTGCTATTTTCTTTTAAATGTGAAGATTGAGGAGGGTTGCTTGTATAAAGACAAGAAAAAAATGATTTTATGAATTGTGCTTAAATGTACCTTTAAATAAAAACTTTGAAATTTGTTCAGTAGCAACATACTGCGACTGCTTTCTAACATGATGTGTTTTTCTTTTTTTTTCCTTTTCTTCTTAAAGGTTGTATTGGAAACAGAAATCACAAATAAGTCTGCTTTGAAACTTTATGAAAACCTTGGTTTTGTGCGAGACAAGAGGCTGTTCAGATACTATTTAAATGGAGTTGATGCACTGCGTCTTAAACTATGGCTGCGTTAAAAGAAACCATCACATCAAGCAACTGACGTCCCAACAGCGCAGAGTTGTCCTTTGCATGCAATGCAATTTGTACAAAATTGCTTTGCAGGTGGACTTAGTAATTTCCATGCAGCTCTTATCTGTCAGTGTCTCATTTGAGTGTCGCACATATTTGTTGCACTTTGGCATGGCGCATTTGTTCAGAATTAAAGCCGATCGTTTCAAACTTCGAGTTCCTTTTGGTACCAGCAAGATGTGCCACTTGATAGCCAAGATATGTTCGTTCATTTGCAAGTCTACTGACTGTATTACATACACAGTGAACATTTTATCAAAGAACCTGTATGTGGAACACGACTTTTGGTTCCAGCAAAAAGCCAATGTAGATTGTAAAATTCTATAAGTATACTAACATTTCATACAAAAAATTGCCATAGTTTTCTGGAAAAAGGCTTCAATTTTAGGTTTTATTTTTCAATATTGAATTTTCCATTCTTAAATATTGGTACCTCAGTGATTAGTGAATGAAAAAATGTATTGTAGGGTGGGGTGTGTGTTACAATGAGTAACAGTAACAATTAAATTGCGTCTGCCAGTGCCTGTATAGATAAGTATATTTGTCTTCACCTCTAAGTTTGGAGTGCATGCTTTTATTCTTTTACTTTCTTCAATTGTCTTTGCAAGAAAAAAAAATCTGCTTTTATTTAAATTCTGGATTTGATAATAAATTATTTCAGATTTTTATAATTTGGATACTTCTCCCAGACGAGGGTTTGGAAGGCCCTTCTTTTCTTATAGCAAGAAGTGTAAGCTATTTTGAAAACCTTGAGTAGCTGCTAAAACAGAACCTGATGTTGCCAGTAAATCTCTGCTGGTTTTGGATGCACTTTTTTCTTTAAAAGAGTGAGGGACTTTTAAAAGAAGATATAGAAAATTAATGTAAATTGGTATGATTTTATTTAATCAAAATTATCGCTAGAAGCTCTGAAAAACATCTATTTTAAAATAGTTGGAACAATTTTTTTTTATCCAGATTCAGTTTGCTTTGCTTCAGTGTTCTAAAATGCTTCAATCTTTGGTTCTTGGTCTTGGAAATAAATTTCAAGGTGTATTGTATCCATTTTTAGCTGCTCTCATTTTCTCTAAACTTACATGAGCTAAATTATTGGGGGATTTTTTTTTTTCCTTCCAAAATCAAAGCAGTGGGGAAGAGATTTCTCTTTTTCTGCCTCTCCCCCCCCTTCCTCCCTCTCCCCTCCTCTCTCTCTCTCTGGTTTTACATAGGTTTTACCAATACCCATCAATTTGTTCAGTAATTACAATGTCTAGGCTTTCTTGTTCAGCGTGGTTATATAGCCCAGTTCTATGAATCAGTTGGGTTGTTTTGTTTTCTGTTTTTTTATTTTATTTTTGTGGGTTGCTTTTTTCCACTTTGAAAAAAGGAATTAGCTGGCTTGTGGAAGAACCTACATAATCTGTGGAAAAAAGGATGAGCTCTCAGTGAACCCGCTCTTCTGTAGTTGAGCGATTACTCTTCAGATTTGCCTTACTACATTTTTTTTAAAGAGTTTGGTTTGAATCATGGTCACTTTGCTAATTATTGTACGTTTAACAACAAAAACAACAAAACCCCTACCTCCAGTACCATTTGGAAAAGATCCCTGTGCAGGAAAACTGGATTTAAAGAGAAGCCTTATTTTGCACAGAGCAATCGCACATGGTGATGGGCGTTTCTTACCATGTACAAATTATGAGTTGTATTTGAAAATAAAGACTTTTAATGGAAATTGGCCCTTCTGAGTTTTCTGCTCGTAGATGCGTTTTGTGCTTTTGAGGGGGCTTGTTCCCCTCAATAAAGAAAACTCATGATTAAAATGGTGCCTGAATCAAAGTGTTATGAACTTCTTCAGGAGGTTTCAGACGTAGTTAAGACTTCAATTGTTGGGAATGCTAAATCAATAGAAACAGGCTTCTCTCAACCGTCTTCCAGTTGTCTGGGAAATCGTGGCTGCTCTGGCGTGCTTGAACTGAGGAGACAGATAAGAGAAGCTTCGTGCCTTGCTAGCAGCTGCTGGGCTTGTATCGCAAACTGCAAACCAGGCTGTCTTGTGTGTCTGCTGATGTTTAAAAACCAAAAAGCCAGACAGGCAAGTTTCCTATAGGTTAATATTTAAGCTGTGGGTGTCTTGAGATTGAAAAGCAGGCTTGAAAGTTAGCTTCAATCACTTTTGGGGAAGGCACTGCCAAAAAACCTTGACGTCTGAGCAAACTTCAAATACAATTCTGTTTGTGTGTTGTAAGAAGTCGTTCTCGCCATGCTGTTCTTGAAAATGCTGCGCAAAATAGGTGCAGGTTTCTTTTCAAAGAGCACATTGCCTGAAAGGTTCTGGTATTGCTGCTGTGTAACACGCAGTTCACTACGGCAGGTACTGAAGCTGTATGCGTTGGTTTGTATTAAAAGGAACAGATTTATTCTCTGTGTTGCTTGAAGTTGGGTATCAAGTGGGAAGTTATGAATTGCAAAGAGATGGAAATGGGTTTTCAAAACAGATCTAGCAATGAAAAGTTGTTTATTTCTCATGTCTGTTGCTAAATCACAGTCTTCTTCCCCCTCACCTTTTGCATTGACAAATCTTACTAAGGAGTTGATCGTTTGTGTTTGACTTTGCCCAAATATTGCTATTGGCTGACATGTCAGTACGGATGTTTGCTTTATATTGTTTTATTTTTCTTGTTGTTTTTATTCTTTTTTTTGTTTTTATTTTTTAAGAGAATGATCAGGTTCATCACCTTTAAGAAAAGCAGGCATAGTCTAATTGGCATTGCATAGTACACCGCAAACTTTTTCAGGGCACCACAAGGCATTGCTAAAACTGAGTGCTATGTTTAAAAAAAGAAAACAAAACTTTCAGGTCTTGTATAACCATTACAACCTATATTGGAGTTCAGGTATCAATGGGCATCTATGGAAATATCAAGTGTATCTCACAATACTGGACTGCTGTTTTGAGTGGATTATATTCTTCTGTCCCTTTATCCTTTTTGATGAGAACAAAAACAGTGGGGTTATGAAATGTACAAGCTGTCTAAATACAATGCAGTCAAATAAATGGTTAAGTTGTTTATCTATTTCCTTTTGAATAGAAATGTTCTGATAATTGTTTTGCTTTGTCTATACGAAGTATGTGCACACACTTATTCCTAACAGAGAAATGGTTAAAAAAAAAAAAAGTTTTACAAGAAAGCTGTAAATACGCTTTTTCATATCACTATTTGATATTTAATTTCCATGCCTCTGCTAGAAGCATCTCGAATGGTATTTCTGTGAACTTCAGTTTCATAGCTGAACTGAGTTGGAGCCTTTTTCCATGTGTATTAAGTTAGGACTAATGTAGTCAGTCTGGGCTTATCCTGGGAGATAAGGGGGGGTTGTTATTATTTAGGTTGTAACAAGCAGGAGTTGGGAACTCCTTGCAGCCCTTGCAAAGATTGAGAACAAACTCAGTTTTGAAAATCTTCTGTGCTTTATTCCCTCTGCGATTGCATTTAGGCTCCTGAAACTTCCCAGTTTCTCAGCAGCCCGTGCTGTGTGTGTTCAGCTGTGTCTCGCTCACCTGCACGCCTCCTGCGACCAGCCGCAGCCAACTTCTGCTGGAAGCAGCTCCAGGTCTCTTGTTCTTGCAGCAGCTTTTCTGATTCCTTACAGCCAGGCTACCCAAATACTAGTTTGTTATGAAGTAAGCCTCCACAGGCATTTTACTGCTTGTTATTTTTTTTTTTTCCATTTGCCCCAACAATTTGGAACTGTTTATGCAAATGAACATCAGGAATCGGATGCTGGGTTTTGCTTATAGCATTTTACCTGGTCAGAGTTTCGACTCTTTCCTCTTCAAATTCCTCCACGGCGTAAACTCTGCAAGAAGCAGGTCAAATTATTTTTCTGTCTTGCACTGCAGTGTATTTATAGCGCTAGCATATCTGGTTAGTACATAGGGGCTAAAATAGATTTGGAGAGACCTAACATTTCTTTGAATGCAAAAGTTACAAGAAGTATTTTTCTCACAGCTAGCTCAGGCAAGACTGGTTTGCTGATATTTTTAGGAATGAGTGTTTTTTGTGTTGCCCAGCCATGTGCACTTTTAAAAATCTGTGATTTCTTTAAAAATACAGCGCAGAGGGATCCTGAACTACAACTCATACAGGGAAAAGGGAAATGCTTCTTGGGGTGTCCCCAAGTTTCTGGTAAGGAAGCCGAGGTTTCTCGCCTTCTCTTGCTGTCTGGCTCTTCCATGGGGAAGGCAGAGCTGTGACTGATTATTGCTCTTCGGTGTAAGGCTCAAGGGCAAGGTAAAAAAGAGCTAAAATTCAAAGGGGCTTAGAACAGGCGAGGTATTGATCTCTTCAACTTGATGTCCTCCACATGACAGTCCCCTCCACTGAAGTCTCTGTGAGCTCTCTTCAAAGGAGCTCGTGGGCGCCTGCAGTTTCTGTGGATCACGGAGAGACTTTTTTCCAAGTAGTTGTAAGAGAGATGAGGGGAGAGGTGCTGCGGAGACAAACTCTGTCAGGCTCAGGAAACTTCCAGAGCTGAAAAGCCTCGAGAGCTGGGATACCACTGAACTGTCAGCAAGTACACTTGCCCTGTTCTTCCTTTTCCCAAAACATCTCATCGTGGCTGTTCCCGTGCTCCTGTTTTATATCGATGCTGAACGTGTGGGACCGGAGGGGATGTGCCCTCAGCATGAGCTGGGATGCCGGTGTAGGACCAAGTGATGCTACCACAGCAGGTCCTAGAGGGTGAAAAGGCTCTCGATATGCAGACGTTAGAGCTGGGACCCTGTGGGACGAGTGGCTTTTACACTCAGTAATAATCCTTTGCTCTAATACAGCACCAGGAAAAATGCCCTGGGGATAATTGGAGTTTTCTCTGCATTTTCCTGCCTGCAGGTCTTTGTACCTGTGCAGTCAGTGAGATGTCAGCGATACCCCGTTACAAATGGTGTGCTTTCTAACGGGATTTCCCTAAAATGTGCCTCGTTAAATGACACCAGTTCTTCCACCTTGCTAGTATTGCAGCTATTGTGATCCATTGCTGAAGTACATTTGTTTTCTGACTTTGCTGAACATCTGTTATTGTTTAGAAAACATAGCTAAGGAGAAGAAACATCCCCCCTGTCTCCCTGCCAGCAATCCTTATTGATCTTTCTTCAGCTACATAAAATAGGAAAAAGGTCAAATCTAATTTGAGATTTATGGTCTGGGCAGTCCTCTGCCAAAGCTCGAGGCAGGTCGCTGCATGCTTTTCTGTGTATGTTTGTGCTACCTACGGGCCTTAAGTTGATGATTCTGGGATTTTAGGTAACTAAGAGTAGGAAATGAGAGGTTTTTCTGCTCTGAAAAGATCTGAGTATAATCAAGAATGCACTGGACAGATTTCAATAATTTTTCAGGTATTTTAAGGTTCCTAAGGTGCTGGGAGGAAACATCTCAGTTTCAGATTTTGTTAAGTTGGATCATTTTAAGCAGGAATGGAGAATGATTCCCCAAACTTTACCCATCGCAGATTGCTGGAACTCGTAATTCACAGAATCACAGGATGGTTTGGGTTAGGAGGGAAACTTAAAAGCACATCTGGTTCCAAACCCATACCTTAGGCAGGGGCACCTCCCACTGGATCAGGGTTCTCAAATTCGGAAATAGAGATTTAAATACCGCCCACAAAATTCTTCAACCATCAAAATCCTGAACCCAAAAGGCGACAAACAACAAAAATCATCCCAAGTTGCTTTTGTGAACCTTCCGATGGACTTTTTTTTTTTTTTTTTTTTTACTAGTCAGTGCCTTGAGGGTTTTAATATTAAAAAATGCTAAAGCAGGAAAAAAACATTTTTTGCTGAAGTGAACACTTCTTTCACGGTGCCTGGAGAGCAGGGAAAACTGGTGAAGAGGTAGTGGCTAAAGATGTAATATGGCAGCTTAATAGGAACAGCTTTCAACTTCCTTGTAGCAGTCTGCAGGAAGATACAAATAAAAACTGAAGCAGCAGATGAGCTCCATTAGGAGCTGCCAGGTGTAAAATACCAGTAAAAATGAAGTCTGAAAAAGTATGTGGCTGGGCAGCCTGGTGAAGGTAGGAGCTGTATGCAAAGCTCAAATTATTACTGGTATTATCAAGGAGGGGATGAAAACCCTCAGCCATGCAAACCCTCCCAGGTAGGTCTTTGAAAACACACCGCCTGCCCACATGACCACGCTCCTCGCCGTGAGTAATTTAGAGCAGACAACTAATTGAGTGCTCTCACGTTGCCACAGCTCCCTCCCAAGGGATGGCTGTGCTGGAAAAGACTCCTCGTCTCCACCAGAATTAGCCTTTAATAGTGGGAAGAACAAACAAACGAACCCTCGGAGTTTGATGCGGCTGATGGAAGCAGCTGGTGTGTCATTGCTGAAGTGAGCTGAGTGTGCTTCAGCCTCCTCGAGTCAAAGCACGAGGGCCTGCTGGAGGAGCTAATTATATTAAGAAGAAAGCCAGCCACTCTTCAGCCAAATTAAGGGTGGCCTTCCTCCTCCGCTGTTCTCTCCACTCAGCTGCATGCTGATCTGAAAATCCTGCAGCTTTCCCGTATGCTCTCAGGTGTGCAGAGCTGCCCTTGCCGAATTAAGGGCTCGCACAACCCCTGGCTGGTGCTGCTGTTTCATGACAGAATTTGCCAGGAAGCGTGACTTTCAGATTTTTTTTTTTTGCACAGAGTTGATCCAGAAAACTTTAGGTGGCCTTAGGTCCGAAGTCTGTCTCGTGGCTGGCACGGGGCGCGTTTTTACAGCTCTCAGACTTGTTGGGAAGGAGCGAGCTGGGCCAGCCTGCAAATAAACGTAAACTGCCTCAAAAAAAAGTAAATAAATCGGAAAGTGGTTCAAGCCGCAAATGGCAGGCAGAGTCCTTTTCTGTAAAATGCAGAGATTTTTATCTCTCTGTCTGAAAGTGACATTCAAAGAACTGCTCTCTTGGGGTTGGAAAAGAAGTTCTTCATTACAGAAAACAGGACCGGCTATGATTAAAAAGAGAAAGTGTTCTCCTTGGGGGTTTTTTGTTTTATTGAAGTGAAAATGGAAAAGCTGGCAATCTCTGGACTATCAATGAACCAACAATGACTCGAACGGTTTCATGTATAAGTTAACAAATGGAATATGTACAGTGCATCTGCATAAAAACGTTACTATGTGCTCTGCTCCCTCTTAAGATACCACGTTGATGGCTGCTATATACTCACTCCTATACGTCTTACTGAAGTATACAAAAATGCATCTATGAAAATGTAAAACATCGATGTTTTGCCTTTCTCCATGTGTAAACAGCTTTTGTATCTCTTAACAGGAATTCTGCAGTTCTTAGTGAGATTGTTTTGCAGTAAGCTGTGCATTCCTGGAAAGTCCTCCGGAAGAGGTGCACTCCGAAAACTTTGCCAGCATCAAAATCCCAGTAACATTTTGAGACCTATAGAAAGAAATCCTTCTTCCTTCACAGGTGTTGGAAAGGACTTCTGTTTTTTGCTCAGCAGCTTAGTAAGTTCTTCCAAACACCTAAAGAAAACTTATGTCAAAAACTGTCTTTTAAAATATCTTTTGCCAGCTTCAACCGTCTTCCACTGCTGTTTGAGCTTTGCAAAGTTTTACTTTTCAACCTGTCCTGGTATGGAAAGAATGGTCACTGTAACTAAGTTTTCTTTGGTAAATTATTCCTAGGGAATTTTAAATTTCTTCAAGCTGTGGGTTTCTGAAATTTGAAATTCAAAGGTTTTCTGAGGTTTCTTTCAAAATGTTTCCAGCTCCCAGACTCTCTTCTGTTACTGTGTATAGGGTAGCTGGCAGTATTGTGTACTTATTTTGCAGGATTGCTTCTAAACCCTTCCCTGGGCGTCGTATGGAGGCATGAGGCTGCACCACGGGTGTGCATCCGTAGGAAACCCATGGGCTTATCCTCCTCACTCTTCTTCCCTCTGCACAGGGAAGAAAAACTTCACCTGGCACTGGCCTATTTAAGACACCAGATTGTAAGCTGGTGGAGGAAATGCATAAAAACAGAAAGCGAGAAATTTGGTTTGTGAGCTCCCCTTTTCCTGGGTTTGGTTATTTACAGGAGC